ATGGCCATTGCCAGCCTTAACGGGTACCGCCTGGGAGACCGGGTGCTGCAGGTGTCTTTCAAGACCAGCAAGCAGCATAAGGCCTGAAAAAGTGAGAGAGAGAGGGGCCAGTGGGGCAATCTCCTGCAGCCGTTGGGGAGGGCACTTTGAGCTCCCTGGGTTTTCACTATATTTGGGCCTGGACTTTGTCTCTCTGACACAATCTCACACAAATCCATAATATATTACCACAAAACAGACATTCAGACGCACTCACACATACGATCGTCCATACACGAGCAAAACACCGACCAACACCAATGGAGTTTTTGTTTTCTCTTCTTCTTATGCGACACGAGAGTCCTTCCCTGTATATTTGCCTGGATTGAATTAGATGGGGGTACGTAGCTGGTTGGTTAGGTAGGGATAATAAGAGCTATCTATTTAGGAGACAGTTTAACGAATGTGACAGAGAATGTGTACTTAGTGCTTTGATTGAATTCAGGCAAATTATGATGACAACTGATGAACAAAAAAGAAAACGATCAAAATTTAAATGAATATGTGCAATTTACCCAAACACTTAACCCACAATCTCTCCCATTATGTTGCTGGAGAGAATGTAGTCACTTTTTTACACTTGGGCATTTTGAATCAGCGATTTTTTTAGATCAAAGAAAATTAAAAACAGTGTTCTCTTATATACGTCTATTAAAATATAACTATATATTCAATATTTAAGGTGGTTATAATAGCCGAGTATGTAAGCATTTTCTAGAAACTTTGACTACTGTTTCCTGACCTGCATTAGGTGGTGCCTAGTGTGAAGGCAGTTTCTCTACCCGATATGAGCCTGTTAGCTCAGGCCCTACTATTTAGGTTCAATATATAATACTGGTCACAGAGAAGAGTAGTTGGAAAACCATCCAGTTCACCTCACAGTCTCACGCCAAAAGTCCAATAGCTCACACATATCACAAATCACTGTTAAATATATTTAGTATTCATCACAAACCGTAATGCTCCTGTGAGAGAATCAAGATGCACATGACTGTCTGTGAACTTAGAGCAGTGGCAGTGCTCCCATGGCGACAGCGTTCGTTAGTGAATCTCCTGAGGGCTTATGAAAGATGAGGGGAAAACCATTTCACTACAACACAACCATATCAAAAGGAAACACTGAGGATTTTCACATTTTGCATTATTTATCATTGCACCTTTAATGTAGATCACAAACCATTTTATATCACACAGCATAGAGAGATCCCTTTAACATGATTTTCTGGTGTCATTATCTTCAGAGAAGAGCAGTGTACAGAATGTCAGGTGGGTTAAAAATAGTAGCACATATATCAAAGTAATTGGAAATATGTGCACATTGTACAGCTCAACAGTAATGGTCTCCAGCAGGTTTGCAGATGAGTAAAACACATCTAGGGCACTGGCATAATTCTAAAGGTGTAAAAAAACTGTAAATTATGTTAAAATCATGTGTAAAAACACAGGCACTGTAAGCCAACTGCTTGGTGCAAAATAGAGCACTGCAGTTCACTGAACATTCAGAACTGACTTAAAACTGCCCACAGCGATTTAAAAAAAATTATCCTTTGAGAAGAAAATGACCAGTTCCTCCAGCTTTGCCAAATGCTCTTCAAATGTATTTAAAATCTTTTTCCTAAAACGCTTCAGAGAATACTTTGAACTCTCTGCACTCTCAAAAGATGACTGTACAACATCACGCCTGACATCTTTTACTCCTGTTTAGTACACAAAAATCGTATTTGTTCGCTTCAGATCCATTAGACACTATCACAAAAATAGCATTTCTTAAAATATCCCAACAGCATGGAAATTATTTATGGCACCCTTGATGAAGCATTAAGGCCAACCAGTCTCACTGAAATGTCTGTACCAGACAGTAGTGAGGCCTACCATGGGGAGAGCTAGTGTCTTTCATTATCAAGACATCTGCATATCATCATCGATTAAATGAGGTCAACTATATACCAGACATTTTTGCTTTTCTAAATGACGCTGTGTTAGCCAAAGAGGACGATCTCTTTGAAAGGAGTACATTAGAGATAAATCTATTTTTATACATACAAAGGAACAAGACATTGTGCTGAATTTTTACAGATCTTAAGCTTGGAAAAATTGGGACATCGCATGGCTTTATTTTAAACCCTCTGATCTTTGCAGAGCAAAGGGGAACAAGCATGCGGTGTATGGGTGGGGATCTCGGGATGGGGCTAAGGAACGTTGTATCTCGTACAAACTTAACTGTTCAACCATTTGAAAATTGACAGCGAGTTGTATATCCTGACACACATCTGTACGCGGGTGCTTGCCGCTCACATCTCAGTCCTGAATTTGTGTACAGTGCTGCTTGAATGATGGTGCAGTGAAGCGAAGTTCTTTGACTAGAAAATCCTCGACAAAGCTGTGGTGACACTGGCTCATTGTCAGGCTGAAAACTACTCTACGCTGCAAACAGTGAAATGTAGATCCAGACAGGGACGCACATTCATAATGGACATCAAGCATGATTCTTTATGAGATGACAAATTAGCCAAATAGCCAAAGAATTGCTTTGCAAGGCAGTACAAAGAAGGACACATTAAGACTAACTATATTATTCCCTGTAATCGCTGTACAAATCTATGTTATATATTAAAAAGGACCCTCTACAATTTAAGTTATCATTTGTTGTGAAAATCTAAGTTGCGCATATCAGTTTGCATTACAACTTACAGCCACATACAACATCTGTATGGACCCTCATTTGCAAACACTTTATCCAGAACTTATCAAAATGCATATCAAATTAATATCAGGAAAAATATGCACATATAGATATTTCCCCTATATTAATAATATCATCTACTTGTCTTGTGTGACCAATTTGGGGAAATTGTCAACATTGCACCATTTCAAAGAATAGGATGGCTACTGTTTCACTCTCAATGATTGTTGCTGCTGTCTCCAGATAACCACTTAATTGTACCAAGCTTAGCCCTTAGATTTGAGGCAGGAAACCAAGTACTCGCTGAGACCAGTGAAAGACCACAGCCCTAATTGGCCATACACTTCATATATAATCCCTTATGTTATGTATACGATCAGTAGAGAGCCAAGGACCATGGCAGGAAACAGTACCACAACTGCTTGAGCAACAACAATAATCATTTAAAAAGACAAAAAAACTTTCCTATGGAACAGTAAGTGCAATGTGCTTTGTTTTTATATTGACTGAGAACAAATGATATATATTTTTAAAAAAAGAAAATTAAATGTCACACTGAAAAGGTTTGCAGAAAAGTGAAAGGAGCAATTGAGGACAGCGCTCATTGATAAACTTACGTAATCGCTCTCTTTACCCCTAATTTGTGCTCTGTCCATGCAAAATAAGAAACTGCATATTTGGCTTATATATTAGAGCAATACTCAAATATCTTGAAAGGGATACTGTTGATATATCATGAGTCTTAGCCCATGTCAATTTCAAATATCATTTATTTCCTGTAACCGATTGCTTTCATTACATATCAATATCCACTTGTTCAATTAGCGTATTTGTGTTGTTGATGTTGCCATAGAGGACACACATGATCAAACGATTTTGTTCAGTTGCACTGATTGGGTACAATTCTTTCTTTTTCTTCCATTTATTGAATTAGTTGCAGTTTTTTACAGTGTATGCAGATTTTAGACTTAGTTAGATTTTTTTATTTCAATCAAACTGTGTTTAATTGTGTTTGTAAAAGTCTGTGGTAGCTTTTGTTGCAACATAAAATAATTTAAACTGAAAAAATTCAAAATAGCGCCAACAAACTTGTATTATTTGGGCGACTTTAAGCTTGTAGTTTTAACTTATTGTTAACTTAAAAACTATTTATTATGATTATTATTATTGCCTCGTACAAAGTATGTTTTGTGTATATTTATGGTTTATTTCATTATATTTGCAAGTTTAAAAGATTTTAAGTTTGCCAAAATTGTGGTTACACCATTTTGTTTCTTAAAAGGGGGACAAATAGAAAAACAGCTTTAGAAGTACAATTTGGAATCGTTCTCCATAGTCAAAGAATGCACTGCTATATTTAACTAATTGAAGTGTATAAACATACATGCTGTGTGCTAGATGTTATGCCTTTACTGCCTGTGTTCTGTTTGTCTTGTTAAATGAAAATCTTTTAATTATTTAATCTAATCACAGTCTTGTTTTTTCAAACCACTTGGAGAACCCTTGAGACATGGGGCACCCCTATAGCCAGATGCTGGCCCAGTTTTGGGTCTAGCAATTAGCAAGGACCAAAGGGATGTCCTGGGTTTGACTCACAAGACACCTCCCTATCAATGATATTGTCAATAAAGCCAATAAAGCCTTTTCAAAAACATATTTATTTAGGCTGTGGCTTCAGGAAGAATGTCTTGTGAGTTTTTAGAATGACAAAGGGTAGAGTGGTCTTCTGTTTCTCAACCAACTGTATTTTGTGTCTATTTATTTAGAGGGGACGCAGTAACTTAGTGATGTTTTTCTTACATTTGCCTGGAATGGTAGAACAAATCAAAACGGCAAAAATGATCAAAAAACAATTACAAAATCTCATACTTCCAAACATGACCAAAACGAACAAAATTTAACAAAGAAAAAATAAACCTTTCAGTTTAGTCTAGGATATTTATTACTGGGATTTCTGCTGAAGACGCTTGAAGACTTTTTCATGGAATTGTTTAATTATTTGTACTTTACATGCCAGAAAAAATAAAATAAAAGTTACAAATACCTCTGTGTATTGCTCCTTATTATAAAAAACATCTTTAGAAAAGCTTTGAGGGTTTTAAGTGACAGGTAAAGCAGTACAAACCAATTAGTCATATTGTAATTAGTCATTTTGAAGACTAGTTTCAGAATTAATGACATAATTGTTATAATTCCTAAAATATTCATTAAAACTCAGCACCATTATGTGTTATTTAACCAGTATAAAAGGATAATAGCTCAATTATGCACACAATAGTTAGATAATGATTTAAAAAATGTTTTATTAGAAACAATGGAATGATGCTAGACTAATACATTTTAAAAACAACATGTGATAACAGTGAAGATCTGAAATGTATTACAGCTACATGGAATCATTTATTGACTGTGACGTTGAGATTGCATCTTTCTTGGTTGCACAACTTGTTGCTGCAGTAACTGTAGTCCCTCTAGGCTGAGCAATCTGTAAGAGTAAGGTTCATTTGTTGTTTCAAGAATGCTGATTAAAAATGATTTCCAAAGTGTAGTCATGTTTCAATTATTAACATGGGTATTGTCTAGTTGAGCACATTAGTTCTAAAACATTTCATATGACATAGCACCTAAGACAGTATTTGGCTTTTAGAGTATCATTAGATCTAAAAATGTCTGAAAACAGGACTCAACCATGACTCAACATGATTTTAAGTAGTAATTCAAAAAGGTGAAATGTATTGTATTCTGTATTCTATAGAAAGACAAAAACAGATCTTGCATACAACCAGTTAGGAACACTGATCTATTATGATGTATTTAATAACTAAACAGTTCAAAATGTATAGTTCAGAAGTAGACCTCAACTTCGAATGAACTTGAATCTTTCAACTGGTTTTACCTTGTGCTCTGACTTGTCCAGGCCTGGTTGTCTCCCTGTCTCTTCAACTGATTCCTCTCAAAAAATGCTATACTCAAGTACAACATATGCTTGATAAAAACAAGTGTAATTGCTTGAATTGATAAATAATGCAAAGCAAATATCAGATTTCTCATGTGTGTTGCAGAAAAGTCAATTAATCAATACATTTTTAGGGTAACTTGTATTTGGAAGACAGTGTACAATGAATTTTAAAATAAGCCTTTCAATCTTTAACATATGTTTTTTGATTTTTGTCCTTGCCACATTAGTTTGCCCTTTTTGCTTCATTTTTCACTTCAATTTTCATTTCAAAACCTGCACAGGTGTGAAGAATCTGAAGAAACCCAATTACTTGCAACAGATATAACTGTTTATGTGACATTTCAATGTTCTTATAACACCAGAAATAAGATAATAATCAGATTTTGGTGTGCACGTAAACATTGCTTCTGTCCATAGTCATTTCCCTTGAAGGCATCCCTATTTTAACCTTAAGACCAGTATATGCCTAAAATATGTAAAATACTACTCACCAATGAAGCACTTCTATAGTTCATCATGCTCATTTTTGGGCTCCTTGCAAATGGCTGGTGTGGTGAACTCCATCAAATATTCACAACGACTAGGCTCTGAGGTAGATGTTATGACAGTCTCTTTTCCACAAGTTAACTTTACCTGAAAATGAAAGAGTTGTTATATTTATAGCTCCCCTCCTAAATTATGAGCTGATCATTTGGGTTGTAAATGCTTAGGAGTCTCACAGTGGTGGATCTATTGGGTCCCTGCCAACAGCCAGTCCCATGTTCATATTTCATCACAGCGTATACATTATCTTCAGGACCGGCCCATTTGCCCCATGTCCTAAAGTTTCAAAAGATACAATCAGTCAAAATTATACAGATCTATAAGAGACTGAGCAAAGTCATGTTTTTTTTCTTACCCAAGGTTAGTTTCTGATCCACCAAATTTGGGTTTTTGGGATACTCGATTGAAAGGGCACAGCTTATAAACATACCTAAATAGAGTAAATAGAGAAATTTTAATGAAAAAGCTAATACAAATTTGTCAGAATACTAAAATACAGTTACTAATTATATTGTTTATGAGGATTTTTTGTGAAATCCAGAATGGTTTACTCCAAGAGCGGTTCTGTACATTTTAAATGAAGACTAAAACATGCGTAATGCTCGAGTCATTCTAGTTGATTCTGTGTCACTGTGAGATATTGGAGGTTATTAGTGACTCAATTAGGTATTTCACTGGAGGAAAAAGATAAAAATAATCTTCAGAGTTACTGTTCAGGTCTGTGTACTACATCATTACCATAGCAGGACAAGTGCTTTATGACACAGACAGAGAATGGAAAGTTTTTCTTTTCCAAAATAGAACTTACTCTCCAGTTGTCAACTCATAACACTGGCTGTACATGTATCCAAACTCAGCACTTGGTCCAAAGTCAAATGAGATTTCCTTTTCAATGTTTCTGTAAAAAAAAAAATAAATAAATAAAAATAACACCACCACCATAAATCCTTTATAGATCTGGTCAGTTCAGTAAATGCATACTAATAAAGCAAACTGTAGCCATTGTAACATTTAATGGGCACCACAAAAGTTAAGACAGTAATTCGATAACCATCACTTGATTGTATTACTGTCAGAAAAGCTCCTTTAAATGCAGACAGAGTACTTACCTGATCTGATCATCCACTTCCCGGAGAGCTCTCTCGGCCTCATCAAATTCATCTCTGGCTTTCTGAGCAACTGGGAACGAGATTAACATTAAAATGAACCTTCAAATAAAACAACAAACATACTTAAAGACCCTAGTTACAATAGTTCAGTGTTTATTTTGGGTTAGCAATATACAATGATTTTCCTTGTGAAATGTCAAACTAATAAGTATGTAGTCACATCTTTCCTGATGTTGTACAGTGTGACTCACTCAAAGCTGACTCATTTAGTTTTGTATGCTTACCATCGATGAGCTGCTGTGTTTCTTCATCGTAGGGTGGCATAGCTCCATCCTCATCTTCGTCAGCCTTCTTTTCTTGAGCGTGAGTTGTGGGAGGGCTCTGCATGTCAAATACAAACCTCGCAGTGAGTCACAAACAGAACTCGTTAAGACAGATTTTATGGAACAACTCTAATAGTTACTTTATAATCATCTGGATCTTCGTCATCTTCATCGTCCTCTTCATCATCATCTTCCTCAGGGATATCTTCCTCAGGATATTGCTCAGAGTCATTGTCAGCTATGGGCTCCTTATTTTCCTCCTGTGGTGGCTCTATGGAAGTATCTTGTTTGGCCTAAAGTAAGAGCGTATTAAAATATAATATGTATAAGGTTTGTAATACACATTTTCAGAAACATTATGATGAGTCTTACCTCAGAAATGTACTTGTCTTTGATACTATTCCAAACAGCTTCAAAAGCAGCTATATCCACTCTTTCCACTCCCAACAAGACCTATAAATACAAATATCTTTCAGAACATCAGAAAATTTGCATTTCATATCTTCTTCTTCTAAAGATGACTTAAAACAGGCTACCTGAGCTTCAATTTCTGTAAAGGATCCGTCTGAATCTGGGTCAAGCTCAGAGTGAGTAAGAAGCTCTGCCACTGAGACACTGGGAAAAAACAATACACTTTTCAACTCTGATTTAAATTACAATAGCTGAAATGTTAAAACACTTACCTGCCATCAGCATCATCATCAAGTTCAGCAAACACCTCAGCCATTTTAGCCTTTTCTTTTTCCATGCGAATGACAGCCTTTTGTTCTAAAAATATCAGTGGTAAAATATCATGAAAACTACAGTTAGAATTTAAATGTATTTATTTATTTTGATTTTTGCAGAAAAATTAAAAATAAAATGCCCACAAACCTCAAAAAGTACTAACAATGAATGTGGTACACAGTGGCATGAATCTTGCAATTACCTTCCCAAGCCTTGAGATGGCGCTCTTTAGCTTCTTTCTCGGGCTTCTCTGCGTCTTCTTTGACAGTTCTCAGAGACTCGACCTTAGCCTCCATATCCTTTTTACTGACTTCAACCTCAGCCAGTTTGGCCTGTTAACAAAGAATGGTTCTTCTATTACATAATATTTTCTTATAATAAAATCTGAATGTAAACAGCCTTTCTAGAGTACCTTCTTTTCCTCTAAACCCCTTTTAGCCTCCTGGATGAGTTGCTGCTTGAGTAAAAATCCCTCTTTAGCAATTTCTGCTTCTTTCTGAAGGCTTTCTCTCTCTTTACGCCCCAACTCCCTGTTAACAAATAAATAAATTTATGGGGTGCCACACAATAACAGGCATAAATACATTGTTTACACAGTTGCGTACTTGCAGGTGTTCTGACAGGTAGCACCACTGTTGTACTCATCGGTAGTGTCACAACAGTCTGGGAAAAACATTATCAGTGTGTGTTGTCTGCAGAGCATGAATAAACCTCAGATTGTATAAAATTGTTATTCTTACCACAAATCCCATCATTGACACGAGAGGAAGGAATGAAAGTAGGTCTGAAACCTGCATTAGTACAGTGGAAATGGCCATTGGGACAAGCAGATGTGCCTAAAGGAAGATACAGATAAAAAAAAAAAGGTAAGGTTTTATTGGGTTTCCAAGCCACAATATTAAAACCTGTGCACTGTTACCTGGCTCATCTGAACCGTCCTGGCAGTCACAGTAGTCGTCATTCACTCTGTTGAACGGGATTGTGCGGGAACCATCCAAGCAAGTAAAACGCTTCCCTTCTTCATAGAATGGTCGTTCTGGAAAAAAACAAACAAAACAACTTAGACAGTCCCTAACTATATACTATATGTAAATGCAATGTTTATCGTTTAACTATTTACACATGTAAATGTAGCATACAATAGGCAAAAGGAAAGCGCCTTTACTTACTTGATAAAGGCACTCCCCTTGGTCGCTGAACTTCCACGGCTGATATCCCAACAGCCAACAGCAGCACCAAATAGTGACAGTGCATAATTGTCATTTGGTAAAACATATACTGCCTGCCACAAAAGAAAACAAACTGTCACAAAAGAGACTCGAATCGTTGCTAGATATAATACGTGAACAAATGCAACTCTGGAAGATTACGAAGTTATCGAATAAGATTGCTGCATCAAAATGTCGACTTGTCAGACCAATAGCGAGCATACAACCACACTAGCTAATGGATAGCTTAGAAATGCAAGTGTATGTTCCAAAACGTGTAAAAGATAATTCAGGAGTTCTTTCAATTAAATTAACCCGCAACATATACCTGCTTTATCAGCAAGGAAAAACAGTATAAGATGTATTATTATTTTCAGGAGAACAGGGCAACGGCTAATCAATGGTCAGCGACTCCGGTCTTCACTTCCGCTTGCCAGTGCGCATGCGTTCTGCTGCAGAGCTGTGATTGGTCCAGAACATGGGGTTCACTGAGGGAACGTGGGAGAAAACTGTGCAGCCATCTCATGACCACAGGTAGGTTTTTTCCCTATTGTTTTAGGAATTATTTCCCAAAACCTCTCATGAAATATCCTCATACAACATACAATATAACAAAGAAATAGGAACAGGAACTGGATTTATTATAAAAATCTTACTTTATTTGTATTTTAACACACTTTACAGTACCGAACAGTGAAATAAAAGAAAAAAATAGATACTGATATACTATCTTATTGTTTTATATATAGATGTTTGCTTATTAAATGTATTTTATTCACAAAATGACACCTCAGTTCTGTTAAGAGGATAAACCTTCATAAAAATAATATAATAAAAAATAACTTGGACACATTTACACGTTACAACAAGATCATGTACACTTATTACAATCATTTCATTTTGTTTTCCCCTTTAATAAGCTTTCTTGTGAACAAACAGGAATTAAAGCCCAGAGAAGTCTGTGACAACATAACCTGCCAACTCAGCCACCAGGGGGCGTAACATCACCAGGTTAGTTTTCAAAGTTACTAAGAAACAGAGGTGGTGATAGCACTAACATGGTTAAGGACACATTTATGTGAAAGAGTCAGCCATAGTGACTACACAAGCATATATTTGACTTAAGAAGCCAAAAAATTCAATCTCAAATGAATAGTAAAATAAAAGTTTTTTATGCATTGAGAAAGGATAGCCTAATCATTGACTACTTCACAAAGACGTGTGATTTGGCCCATTGGATAATAATCAACAAGCGACAGCCCATGAGCGAACCACCAGGACAGACTGCACACCACCTGAAACAAACAGTCTGCTTAGAAACCTGATGAAATAAAGTGCTAGTACAAAGATTAAATTTCAACATTAATGTGGACATTTGCAACATAGAATCAAATAATAATGACATGAAGATGCGGCCTGCAGTGCTTCAGTGATTCACTTAACACCTCAAGTGGTTATTCATCAATATGACCTTGATAAATTTCTATTTTACAATCCAATATTACATTATGTACAAGAGTGATAATGCTTATAGCTATTATCGTCAATAGTGATTTGTTTCCAGACCAGTCACCAGAATGATATAAAAATAAACTGTACACAAACAAGAAAACTCTTCCCATGGTTTTCTTTTCATCTTAAAAACAATGGCAGCAATCAATCAATTGAATAATTTTAATAAGAAACAATTGCTACAGTATTGTGTTTGTATGGCAATTAAATATTGACATTTTTGTAGCCTTTGATTATACAAGAAGCCACAAAAACAAAACAACATCAAAAGCAAAAAGCTGATGCATATGGGAATTGATTATTTAAAAACAGGTGTATTGGTGATCCCGGATGTTCACTCCATCCGAGGGACGCGTGTGGAGGCCCTGAGGCGCTGCTCTATCCTGGGACAGAGCTGCTCAAACACACAGGCTCCTGTTGCACCGAGCAAGTTACTGACCTGCAGAAACTTCTCTCTCCTCCAAGAGAACCACACACAAGATGGTTTTATTTGTACCCTGTAAAAACAAACACTGAAACAAACCAGCGCCGATCAAATTTGAAGACCACATAACACGTGTGAAAATGTCACTGACCCTTAAGCCATCTTCCCTGTCTATCAACACTGCATTTCCCATTGGCAAAATAGAATAAAAAGGCATCTAAATAAACTCCTCTGAATAACTCCTATTCTTATTTCCTCCAGGTAGTAACAAACTATATGATCATCATTTCAACATTAATACAAAACAAGACATTCTTTGTGCAACAATGAGATGACAGCAGTGTCCCTCTCCCCCTCCATCCTCAAATGCAAATGAACACATTGATTTTCACATAATAGGCATACCGTCACAATATAAATATACTAGGACCTATTAAAATTTAAATCTACATATTAACAGGAATGCATCCTGCATCTAGCATTAAGGCAAAAGCATCAAACAAAACAAATATGATTAGGAACTGCCACACTCTTTTTGGCCAAGTCGTGCTTCTTTTTCCCTGACATTCTCCTTCCTGATTTTCAAAATAAACCATCCTTACAATGGCTCCACCTGAAGTTTCCCGTTCTGAACTTTGGTGAAAATGATCTTTTATGAGAGAACAGTAACACTCAGTAGAAGTGAAGGTTTCCATCAGCTGATGGTGGAATTCTGTACCCTTTGAAATTATTTAGCAAATGCTAAATAGTAAATTATAGGCAAAACTTATGCTTCAAAGCATCACATGGCTTATTCTCATAAAATTTTAAAAAATCATTTAAAAAATAAATAAATGCAATCTGGAAAGAGTTCATTGGCGGTTGCGGAGGTGGCTATGATTGCTCTGCAGCTAGAGTTCTGAGTTATTATTTCACCAGAAGAGCAACAAAGGAAGACTTTACAGCTTAAACCACAAAAATGCATGTGTGATACACGGCACAATACCATGAACAGTAAAAGAAATTGCTAACAATAGACAATCCAAAACAAAAACAAAACTCAGACGCTCCTGTCCCACAATGCATTGCTTCACGACAGCTTCATTCAGGAAGCTGGTGTTTCAGAAAGGCACAGAGCCATCTTGCACCAGTAGCACTCCGTGTAAAGGGTAACAGGATTAACAGGGCCAGAACGGCCCCTTCATTGCAGCATCCTCCTCTTCTTTCTCTGTTTGTCTTCCATAACTCTGGTGAGTTTCATCTTTTTGACAAAAATGGAAAACGGTCACTCAGACAAGTAGCTTTTTAGAGGAGAATGATTTGTTGATAATCTTACTGACATGAACTACTAATACTGACTGAACACTAGTATGTACTCCAGTAAAAGATGGCTTTTTCCAAAGAGATCACTGATCAGTGTCCCCCACTAAATGCACACACACAAAGAGACAGCCAAGTGTATGTGCATGCAGTGTAGACCACATGTTTAATGCATGCTCAAACACATTGCATTGATGTTTATATTTGACATACTCTTGGTGCCACTTTATGTGTGTGCATTCTGTTCCAGAGTGCTACGCTCTCTTCAGTTTCTCAACAATTCCTCAGAGTTGTGTTGTCAAATCCATTCAAAAATTTGTGACCACTCCAAATCTACAGTTGATGTGTAACTTCTCTTTAAGCGACGTATTTATTCCCTTTTTGAAAAATAGATTCAAAGGTCTGTATTGTCATTGCAGTCTTTATTTGTTCTTGATTTGGCCATTAAAAGGTTGAGCAAAATAAAGTGTGCAACTGAGGAGGGAGATATTGAAGCAAATCTCATGTATCTTCCGCTTGTGAAGAAGAATCCTCCTCTTCCTCTACAGGGCTTGTGTCAGACAGTCTCTCCTTATCCGCTCGCACCTCCAGCTGCTCTTTCTCTTGCTCCTCTTCCTCCTCCATCGCTACTTCGTCTTCTTCCTCTATAATGTCCTCAGTCTCCTCCATATCTTCCTCCTTTTTCCCATCCTCCTCCTCTCCCTGACTGCTGTCTTGAGCCACATGATTCTCAGTTTTATCATTGTCTTCTGTCTGCTCTGGCTCTGAGCTGTCCTCCAAAGTTAGCTCAAACTGAAACTTGTCCATGCATGCGTTCAGCTCCTTGTCCTTTAGTGGTGGAGGGGAGGGGCTTTGTGGGATGGTGCTCTGGTACCAGTCTCTGTTGTCCTCCAGTGTGTCCAGGATTTCTTGGGCGTCGGGGTGTACCAGATCTCCCCAGGTCTCCCACAGCGGGTGCACTATGTAGTCGATGAAGCCCACCTACATGAAGAAAAATACAGTCATGTGATTTTGCTTGATTAAAATGCACGAGGTTGACTGCTGGGATCTGAGGGAGAGCTGTAGTTAGTCAGAAATGCACCGGCAGCGCTCACAGTAGTCTACAATAGATTGATTTTCATTATTTTAAATTTGATATTGCCAAAAAATCTTAGAAGGTAAAGGCAATACAATTCCAAAGTTTCACTATTATACTTCTATCATTACATATTTACAAAGATATTAACTATAAAACATGCATCTAAACTTCTAAAAATCTACCTGATCACAATTTTATTTTTGCACTATATATCCTCCAGTATGCTCAGGAAATATTTATAAATTTGGGGTCTCTCATTAAAACTCTTATTGCTGAGATTACTGAGACAGCATCAAGATTTTAAAAGTCTACATGATTGTTTACACCCTAACCAAAACAACAGTGCATAGATTACCAATCTTGAAATCTCTATTCTGAATGAAATATCCAAACTGAAAAAAGTATGATCATTTTAATTTTGAGTGATATTAAACTTTGTGCCAAGATCCTATATTACACAAAATTGACTATTGTTTTGTTTCATTCACACATTTGAGTATCCCCCGCAATTAGTCTACATCTCCAAACCTCAAACTACCTGTTCCACCTTGTGATGTGTCGTAGTGGTGTAGTGTAGTGATATTAACCACAAACCATGCCAAACTTCTGCCATACAAATCAACTGAACCACCATCACTAGTTTACATCCTCTTCAATGTTGTTATCATGTGAACACAATCTTTATCATCCATAAAACAATGTACTTTGTTCATGTACCTGACTCTTTTCCACAGACGCCGTATGTTTGTCACACATGGGGCTGATCTCCATCCCTCGCTCCCGCTCCTTGTCTCCCTGCCTGAAGAACTCCTCCATGATGCGCTCTGTCCATTGGCGATACACGGCCAAAGGTTTGGTGGGATTACTCAGGTCTGCACAATGCACCATATTCCTCAACACCTGCTCAGAGGAAAGATATAGCATTTTTACATATAATGACAATCAGATTTACTTTACTTATCCCCAAGTGAACATTAGTTCCGTGATTATTATTCTCATTTGACGAAACAGGAAAAAAAAATTTTGTATTAGTTGTACTTAAATTTTTTTTGGTATTGTTCAGGTTCTTTTTAACGGTACCCAGCCATACTTATGGGGATATATCCGGTCAGGAATGGGTACTTCAGGGACAGTTCATGTAATATTGATGGTGAGATAAGAGAATGCAGCGGATGGTTAAACATTTGATACTGTAGATCTGATACAATGACAGTTAATGAGCTCAAAAGTGCATCAGTATTTGTTAACAGGAATTTTATTGGTTTTAATTGACTAAAAGCCACAATAATATTTTACCAGGAAACTAGTCTCAGTCTAATCTGTCTGTTCCGTAGTCTTTAGCCAAAATTAAGCACTGTAAAAAGGTTGACTGTATTTGCCATACACTTATTTTGGGAACGGGAAACATTTTGTAACTAATACTTGCATAAAATCAATACATGTAACCTAAAAAGTAAAAACTAACAATTCCTAAACAACCTAACCTTACATAAAAAACAACAAAAATTAGTTTCATTTTTTTCACCATAAATAAAGTTTAATAATAATACACAAAAATTACTAATGAATCAACTGATTCAAAAAGCACTGTCAGAAAATTATTCAAATATCTTACCTGTATGCGATCTGTGTAGTGGTCCAATAGCAGCACGCCTGAGCTTGTCACTTTTTTGGTCTCTACCATTGTTTTGAGGTCTGCCAGCAAACTCATGTGCTTTGACATATCTGTGGCCAAAACCTATGTAATATATAGATGGAAATACATTCTGTGCTTAAAAACAGAGCAGAGAGAAGTTGTTTACAAGATGGAGGACAGATACTCACCATATCTATAACTAGTTTCCTCAGGCTCTGTCTCTGTCTCTTGCTGAGGTTCTGGAAAATGTCACAGTTGTCCTCATGAAGCAGCTTAAAGCCCACGGCCAAGTGGTGGTTCTCCAGCACAGACTCATCGTTGTACATCAAGGCTAACTCGGAGTCTGAGAGGAGCAAAACATACAGGTTAAAAGGCTATCCTCCAATTAGGTTAGTGAGAATTGGTCTGCCTAGTTTCTGCTCTAAATGAAGAAACTAAGCATCAGTAAACATATGTCTAAACTTGTAAAATGAACATTAATTACCATATGATAAATTGAAAAAAATATTTTCCATTTAAAGTCATGTAATTATAAATATATGACTCTGGCAGCTTGAAATATTTAAAATGTCTACATCAAAATGCTATTCAGTGTCTTAAATATGTTATGTATTCTCACTTGTGTTGATGAGAAACTGGTTGGACACTCCTGGATGGTCCACATCATGAATGGCGGCAGCAAATAATGCAGCTAGTATCTCAAGATCAGTGAAAACAGCCTGCAGTAATTTAAAACAAATCACTTACAGTTCACAAGTACTGCATATTTGTAATCTAAAGTTTGTGTATGTTATGGGAGTATTTACATCCAGAGCTGGTGTTGACAGCAGGACATGGGTGGACTGAGTGACGTCGGCCGCGTGCAGGCTGTTGTGGTAGGCCACGTTGGCGTGATAGTGGTCTTCTAGTGTCATTATGTAGGTGACAAATGTGTCCACAGGGATCCTAAAGGTTTTTAGTAGATCTCTTTCCTGCAACAGTTCAGAGTGATAAGAAGCAGACAAAATACAAAACATACTGTAATTATAGTTTGTGCTCTTTCTCACCTGAAATATGGCAAACATGATGCAGCTGAGAGGTCGGTTATTAGAAAACTCTGCCACCCGAAAGATATTAAGGCCCCACTTGTTTAAGTCATTCAACTCCTGGTAAATGCAAAAAGAACTGTTTTGTATAGACTGTTTTTCATATCCAGTCAATGAACTAAGGGTGGGAAATATGGCAAAAACAAAACAATTTTTTATTGAGACCAGACCATTTATCATGAGTAATGAAAAACATATTTTTTCTATTACGTTTAAGAGGTAAATTAAGTCTGCTCCTTATGAAAGTTCACACTTCTTTGTGATTGGTTAAGTCCAGCTGTCAGTCAATCAGAGTCATAAAGGCTAACCAATGGGAGAAATGGGTGGGAAAAGTGTCTGTGTTTGAGCAGATAGCTTAAATAGAAATGATGAATCACAATGAGACCAAAATAGCAGACTGTCACATTTAGATTTTTATCACCATACCACTAAACTCTACATTGACCAATAATTTTGTGTGCTTTTACCCGAGCTAAAGCATCCTCGTGCTCGGTCTTGACGCCAAAGCGAGGCATGGCCGAGATAGAAAGGCTGGAGCTGTGCGTGAGCTTCTTCACTCCACTGATGTGACACATGGGCTTCTCTCGTTCTCTCAGCGTCGGCGATGGGATCTCTACCTCGTTCTGCTTATCTGTGGATGAGCAACAGGCCGCAGTCAGACACCAGAGGGTGCATTTGACCTTGTGTAATGAGTATGGTAGGCTGTTATTTCTCCTTGATTTACTCTGAATAGTCTTTACCTAAAAAGGTTGTGGAGATGTATTCTGACACCTGATTCCCTGAGCGACTCATCTCTGACAAATGGGACAGCTCCCGGTTCAGCATCCTTTTAAACTGAAACAAAAACACAGACAATAACAAGTTAGTGATATAAAAATCTTAGGATTACAAGGTCATTAATACATTTATTCCATTAGATATGAATGCATCTTCACATTTTACAATTTTTTCAGTTGCTATCACATTCATTATATAAGAGATTATTTCAAGTAATAACTAAAAGGTGAGAGAAATATAATCATGAATCATGCCTCTTCATTTCCAAGGCTGGGAACATCCTGTTCAAAGCCTCAGTCACTTTTAGTGCCCAGATCATTGATTCACTGCAGTATATAGTATAGCACTGCTCCATGTTGCCTTCATACTGTATACCACACTGTTAATAATGAAAAAGTAAGCGTATGAGTGACCAGTGTGATTAGGTCAATTATCTGGGTGCTCTCATAACACAGTGTCTGGATGTTCTTTCTATTGTAGACTATGTTGTGGTGTGTACTTAAGCGATTATTGTTTTTGTTGTTGCCAGTCACATGGGAAGATGCAGTTTGGACCGGACCTCGCTCAGTGTCCCACTGACTGATCTTTCACACATAACCGTCTCTATGGAAACCCGGAATGGTTGCTGTGGTAACTGCCTCCTCAGTCCTTCAGCTCGATGCGAGCGGTGGCTGCTCGGGTGACAATCTGAGGCAGGTGTCCGACCTTTACCAAGGTCAGTGCTCCTCCAGTATGTCACTGCTTTAAATCTGCTCTCCCTCCTGCACAACGTAAACAACACTCACCTCCACTTCCCTCAAATCCACTCATCATAACTTATCATAGCTTTGAGCAGCGCCACATGTTTATTGGGAATCTCTGCCCCCAGACTCAAGATTACAGATGTCCCCTAACAATAATTGAAAAATCAGCCAGTCAAACCCAGTGGCACACTTTGGTATCAGTCTGAGCCCGAATCCTCCCCCTCTTTCCCGCTCTCTCTCGCTCTTTCCTTTAATGCTGTAACGCTGAGTCATAGCTGCCAACCAACACTTCCACGGTGCCAGTCCAAGAGCCAGGACAAACAACACTCTTTCACTGACTAATGAAGCAAACGTGAGAGTGGTGCTCATGCATGACCACAAACACACAAACACTTGTATAGATCACATATGTCACACACCCAGGAGGGCACTGTCTCATGACCATAACACTACACATGCACACACGTGGACTGGGACTGTTCTGTGCATGCATACTGAATATTCATGGTATATTATTTGCAATAATACATAGGCCTGTCAAATTTTGAAATGCAATGTATTTCTACTCCAAATAACACAATACATGGTAACGCTGGACTACTTCATGCTACAGACTGATTAAAACCCTATAGCAAGATAATGCCAGCAAGTGCAACAAACAAAGCAGAATGACACACTGAAGTAGTTGTTTGTAGTGTCTGTAATGAATGACAAAAGTGACTTATTTGACCCTCTACTGCTAAAATACTGCAGAAAGTACTACAATGAATAACAAAAGAAAAACCTAGGACAATTATTAAAACAGCAACAACACTACTTTATAAATACACTTCAATGAACATATTGGCCCTTAAAAGACTGAAACACCTGACTCAACAGAAAGTTACTCAGTATCTCTAAAGCCTTGACATGTCATTACACCGAGCATAGAGGCAATAAGCCCTGTCCTTCACTGACAGCAGGCCTCCTCCAGCCTCAGGCAGCACAGAGAGAGAGAGAGATGTGGGACGCAGGTGCGGAGGATGGAAATGGGCATTATGTGACACTGGTGTACCTGCAGTGACGGAACAGAAACAGCTACTATACTGTGGATTCAGGCATTGTTCAGAATCCCGTGTTGTTATATCTGTGTTGAATCTTATGAAAGTATGAAAATACTAATTAGAAGTGGTTATAATTGTTTAGGATGTTGATGCAGCTGAGTAACCATTTGTGTTTCTCACTAGGTTCTGTTTGTCTTCTTAACCCTAAAATATGACAGCATAACAAATACATGCACTGTCCACAGACTCTATCCAAGATGGCTGCCTCCAGACCATGTTTTGCTTGTGTCACCTCTGAGCCCTACCTGATCCCACCAGCCAATGAGCCAGGGCTTGGAGCACGTTTCACAGAACAGGTCCACAAAAGGCGTCCTGCGCTCTGCTGGGGTCCCGCTCCCACCCCCATCCAGGACCCCTCCGGCCGCACCAAGGTCCAGCTCGGCCCCTGCCCTCCCCTGCAGCGGGCTGTAGCTGGAGGAGCGGGGCAGCCTGTAGCCACCTGGTACGGGCGAAGGGCAGGGGGGCGGCGCCGGGTCAATGGCCTCCACCACTCCCATGTTGATGCCTGCGCTGGCTTTGGGCCGGGGGCACAGGCAGGAGGTCCTGTAGTGGAGCGGGGCGGGGGCACCACATGCACCCCAGTGGCATGAGGGCGTTGTCAGGGTGTGTGGAGACAGCCCACAGTTGCTGAACCTGCGACACTCCAGAGCTGCGGGGGGTGACAGGAGCGGGGGGAAGGGGGTGAGGGCAGGGGTGATGTCCTACATGCGGCACCCCAAAACAGGCTGGCCTTCAGTCCTGAATCAGTGGTCCGAAATCAGTAACCCCCCCCTCCTGATGTGCAAATCAGGAGCCCCCTGGATCTGCTCACTTTGGAGACTACATCTCATCCCATTTGCTGAGCACACTGACCCAAATCCACTTAGAGCCGCAGAGGGGAGACGCGAAAGAAGATGGATGAAAACAGAGAGTGAGAGGGACCGCTTGAAGGGCACACAAGGGAAGAGCACAGGAAGTAGGAAGGACAAGTGTAAATAAAATGATGACGCTCTGTGCTAGACAGGTGCAGAATATCTAAAAAACCAAGATGTTTGGGATGTAAAGCTTGTTATGGGAGGAAGGAAAGATGACCGAACAGTGGAGATGGCAAATAAAGCTCATATGAGAGCAGTAACATCAGAGCAGGACACAAGCACAAGGACCAATGACAGAGACAGAGATGGATGTGGCCTGAAGTGGACGGACAGAGGCTGAAGATTCGACCCAACGTTTGGGGGAAAACAGGCTGCTCCTTCTGGTTCCTCCGCTGCCCCTCCCCCAACGGTCCAGCTCCACAGGCCCGGCCCAGTCCTACCGGTGCATCAGCCCGCTCTCTTCTGTCTCTCTCTGCTTTCACACTCTGTCAGTGCGCCGTATCCTGTGTCCTAGTCCTCTTCTTAAACACAATCCATGCCAGAGCTGTCCAAAATGCCAGAGGGGTGTGATGCTGATGCTATAGACTGTCAATCCTTTTCCAATGCTCTGCCTCTTGCGCCATTTCCCTGGATGCTGTAGACAGCTCTCGCAAGCTAATCAGGCAGTGTGGCTGCAGGCGCGTGCATGTGTTTGTCTGTGCTCTGCCCCTCCTGCGCATGTGCAGCAAGACAGTATGTACGTCTGTCGAAAATATGTGCGAGCAAGGGTGTGAGTGGAGTGAGAGACTGGAGAGGAGTATTCATGTGTCAACCTCCATTTTGGCAGTGAGATTTGGAGCTTATTTGTGGCTGCTAAAAGACAGATCTTATTCACACTCATTATCTACCCTAGGAGACTTCAACTGCTCAACCCACACATCCACATTCAATTTATAGCCTCATCAATTAGATGGCAACTAAAAGATCAACCTAATATCAGTTTAAATACCCAGACTTGCGTGATGTTACTGCTATAAATGCCTAGTTGAATGAATGTAAAATACTACACACAACGATAGCTGCTACTGTTGCTTTAAGATGCATCACTAGTAAAGGAGCAACGCTTGTGTTTCATTGGTTGTTACCTAAACCACATGGCTGGTGGTCAGAATGGAAAGCCAATGATTAAAAAGGAAGGCTAGACCCTGCTGCTGTTCGATAGCAACCAAGGTTACAGCAGACAGCAGCATCAGGACCCCATTCCTCCCCCTCCCCTCTCTACATCCTCCTGCTCTCCCACACAACAATGCCTGCTTCTGGCCACTAGGGGTCTATCTACACCCACAAACACAATCCAGATTATACATCCAAAAACTAAAATACATTTTTGGAAGTTATTACTATCACTGAAGGCATAAGCTTTCAAAAAGTCAGATACTTACAGCAGACTAAACACCAAAAAAAATTAGAGTGAGAAAACAGTATGGTTTAGCTGTTTGGCCTGTCTCTCCCATTGTCATTTAAAGAGATCTTGGTGCTTTTTACTTAATGAACATAGGCCAACTGTGGATGTAATAATGTGTATGTTGGACAGGTGAGCACCTTGTTGGAGGCCATCTCGCTGACGGAGCGGTGGGTCTGAATGGTCTCCAGCTGGTCCAGACACCAGTCCAGCTCCTCCAGAGTCTCCCGCGCCATCTGCTGGTATGTCTCCTCTGGTGAAGGACACAATAATAAGTCTCATTATTGCCAGTCATAATTTGCAGTCTTTCACAACAAGGGGGTACCATGGGATACTTGGATTGGTTTCAGATTTTAAAAATGAAATAATATACTATCTGAATAAAAATATTCTTCTAGTGCATTTGAAGAAACTTAATATAGTTTTGGACATCAGTATAATTAAAGCATCAAGATGTAATACTTGACAGTATAGCTTACTGCTATAGTTAACACATTTTAATTATTATACTCAGTGTTTGAGACACTGCCTAGGGGTACCCGAGACAAAAAAAGGTTGACACTGAATATAGGCTAGAATAACAAGTTAATTAGTGAAGAAACTTAGAAATAGAATATATAACTTTGAAGTTTGATTTTGCAATAGTAAATGGACACTAAAACACAGTGATTATCAACATTAGCTACAACAGCTATTTTGAAGGGAATTAGTATTATTCTTGATACTGGCTGGATGTCATTTACATGTTGGGCAAAAAATAAAACTAATATATATTTTTTCCTGTCTGTTATATAAACAATGCATTCTCTCATAATAAAATATACACAAATACTACAAAAGTAGTAATGCATTATTATTAAGGTAATGTGCATCTCTATGTATTACTCTGTATATCACTGCATGAAAGTATCCTCTGATGTCTTATCATTAACTTGAATAATCTTGTGTTTTCTGATTCTCAGCACTCTGTTTAATTAATTGTGATAGATTTGGAGAGCTGGGATTTTCCTTTGCCCTTAAATAATTTTGAGGGGACTATAGTGGGACAGGGTTTTAATTAGTTGACACATACCAGAGAGTGTAGCTTGGGGAACAGTGGGCTGGCTTGTCACTGGTGACCTCCTGTGGACAAACACAGCAATGCATCAGAGAAAGCATCAATCAATACTGCCCGCTGTTGAGAAGTTTCATATACTCAGCAGTTTTTAGGTTGGACAAAAGTGTGAGCTCATCAAAAGAAAACGTACTGTCTTTAAATATAAGATACACCAGAGAAAACAAATGAGGTCTATTAATATAAATTAACTCTGAGATGTGTGCATATTTCACAGTCAGTTTTTCACTGTAAATATTTAAATATCCCAAAATAGTCCCAGACAACGCAGCTCTCTTTTTAAATTACCCATGTGGTTTGATAATTGTAGAGAGGGCGGCATTTCCAGAGCACAACAGCATAATTATAGATGCTTGATAATTCCATGGCGTATTGCTTTTTATATATTATATTGACGTTGGGCTAAAATGCTGCCAATTGGAGCTCCTTCTGTCTACTGCATTACAAAGCAGAATAATTTTAGCCTTATTGACCATCTCCCTTGTTGTGCACACAGGCAGAGAGAGTTAGAGAAATATATCTGAAAGTTGGAGGGACGCCAGATCGTATTTTCCTCCAGCGCTGAGTGGTAATCATAAGCTGGTTAATCGGGATGGCAGTAGCACTTTCCCTTGGGTTACAGAGGTAACTGAGACTGAGAATAGAAATGCATAGATGGATTCCCATACAAATATTGTACACATATTGTGCCAAGTGTATAAAAGGGTAAGGGCCACTTGATAGCATGGTACTGACTTGTTAGTGGGTGTTGTGACATTGGCGAGGATGGTGAAGTTGCTTCTTACAGTTCGTAGGCTGGCCAACACCTGGGGGATGGATGGATGGACAGCGTAGGAGGAAAGGAGGAGAGGAGAGAGTGAGGAAAGAGAGAGAGAAGTGGAAAGCAAGGTGGGGACAAGTTCACTGCACTCATTAACCACCGTTTCTAGTCATTAAGAGCAATTTAACCAGCCATACGTGTCTCCCATACCTGAGCAAATGGAGTGACTATCAAGTCTTCAGCATGCCTGCAAGACACAAGAAGATAGAATGGCATCATTCCATGTTACTCAGTGTTCTTGTTTATGTGTGAGTGTGTATTTGTAAGTTTCATGTTTACAAATTCTTGTGTTGATCTAAACAAGGGAAATGGGCTTGTATCTTGTAATGGGAGGATTTAGTAGGTTGCATCTTAATGAAAGCTGAACCAGGAAGCAGAGCGCAACTGTTAGCATTAAGTAGACTCATCATGACTTCATTTGCATAGTGTTTGCATAATTACAATCACGCCTATCGCTGTGTTGATTGGGATAATACGCAGTTATTGTGAAAGTCTGTGCATCGGGAGTGTTGTTGTTGAGACGTTCTGTTGTAGATGATGCTAAATAATAGGGGTGAGTGAAATGTTGCCTCTGAGATCATGGCAAATTTGTTATATAACTTTTATTTTTTTTAAAAATTCAAAAATATGCAAAAAATGTCATGGGGGATACTGAAGAAGTGCCAGACCTGAGTAGACCTGCTTATAAAGTCATAAGTACTGAACTGGTCACATGTGCTCAGCTTATATAAAAAATGTAAAAAGGAACTGAATGCTCTTACACTGAAGGTGTGGAAGGGGAGGATGAATAAGGGTGCTGCATTTCAGAAGATGTTAAGAATAATGTGAAAATGTTACATACATATATTCAAAAAATCTCCCACAGTATAGTATACAATTTAATCTGTACTATATACAGGGTATAAGGTGAATTGTCTGCCCTTTTGGTGTTTATTTTTTGTGCAACATTTTGATGTGAAGTCACTTACAGGCACATTGTTTACACATTTTTGTGCAAAAATAGTTTTGCTACACAACCCTTATTTAGTTCATGTTTAAGTCAATATTGTCTACCTCTTGTGCTGAACACAGATACTTGTGCTTACCCTTCACTGTTGACAGAGGAGTTTCGGGACATGGTTTTGGGTGAGGTGTCATAGTCCGAGTCCGAGCGGTACAGGAAGGACTCCCTGCGCTGGCTCTGGGGGAAAGAAGGGTGTAGCACCAGCCCCGGACTCGCCTGCGAATCCATGGGACTGCGGCCTGGAGAAGGGCCATTTTCTGAGTCAAAGCTGAGGAGGGAAACAATATAACAGATATTTTAGCTACAATATTAAATACATTTTAATGTTTCTTACAGGTCTACATAGAGACAGATTTATACTGAGGCTATGGCACAATATGGATCAGTATTTTAATCATGTATAGAGTATAAATGTTACATATAAATACATGTTACACATATTGCCATATTGCTGATTAAAACAGATTACAGATTAATTATAATATGATCTATATATTTATGGTATTACTACAAGTTTAAAGTGTCAACACTACCGATTACAGTTATAATTCCTGTTTTGTCTCACTGAATGTCTCTCTCTACTCTTCACCTAATTTCAGTCTGTACTGTACGGTCTAATAAATCTTACAGATCAAAGAAATCATAAAAACTGGTTAAAGTTTTCATATTATTCTGGTCAGGGCTGAGACTAACTGTACATCTCTGAATGGCCCTTGTACCTTCAGCTGTACCTGTACCGCATTTTGAGAAGTTCAGAGTAAGAGGAATGTTGAAGAAAGTGAGACGTGACAGGTTTTGGAGCACATATTTCTGCAGCTGTGACTCTGCAGTACTGGGGTGCTGGCAAACTGCCACTGGGTTACCCTGAGAATTCCTCTTTACTGACAAATCATATTTTAGAACAAGTTGTGTTAAACTGAGCAAAAGAAGCCACATCAACCAAGCACCTCTCAGGGACAAATCTGTAAGAAGACTTGAGTCATTGAGATTTTAATTTGGATTTGATCTACATTCTACCTAAGGGAAAAATTAATTAGTGCTAGCAAACAGTTTTATTAACATCAAAAGTAACCAGAAGCACTTTTTATGGACTTTGGCTAGTCACATTTTGTATGTCTTTCTGTGAAACTGAGCACCATTTTCACTGAGTGTATTGCTGATCAACATTAAACCCCAAAACTGAATACTAAAAGACTCCAGATCGATCGTCAGAACCGCTTAGCCATCGGGTACAGCACTTATCAGTTTACACCATATCTTTTTTCAGCAGTGCCAGCAGTCACGAATGTTGTTCAGTAGGCAGACAGCAGCCCCTTCAAGAGATACACAAACTTCTCAGAGATGAAAGAAGATTCAATCAGACATCTAGGTCTTGTATTGATTAAACAAGCTTGTAGTTGTTTGATAACGTGGATCCAAAAATAATAGCTTTATAGTGACAGGGAATAATTTATTTTATATTTTAGCTTTAGACTGAAAACATTTCGCTCACCCAGGGTTTATTTGAGGTCATATGTCAAGAGTAGATAAGGACACGGTCTATGCCACTTTGAGTACATGTTGGATTTCTTTTCTGGATCAATTCAGTTTGGCGCTGCTGTCTGTTAATCTTCCAAATTGAGCACACACGGTGATATTTTTAGAATTTCCTTCTAAATTGGCCAATTAGAAGTGACTTCTCCTACCCAGAGGGCTTGGTGAATGTGACTACAAATCAAATTATCGTTAAAAATGTTTCCTCACTAATGAAAAACACATCAAAACTGTTCGCCAGGGGAACCTCTTCGAGCTGCATACGCTAATCCACATTTTACTTTTTTTCCAACAAGTTCTGAGAGGAATTATGAGTCTTCGCCGTGCTCAGTAACATCTAATCCATCAAAGGCTATGTATATAAGATGTGCTTGGAATTTTACAACAAAGGCTCAAACCAGAGAAATTAAATTCAAACTAACCTAACCCAATTTTAAAGTCCCCGTGTAACCCACTAAATATTAGGCATACATCTTCTTTGTCCCCACTCCCACTTTTAACATATCTGTTTCCTCTCATCAAATATAATCTTGATTCATGAATCTGGATAATAGATTAGCTTGATTACAATTTAGTATTTAGATTTAGATGTAGTATTACAACAAAGAATCATACCAGAGAAATTAAATTCAAACTAGCCTAAAAGCATTTCTAAAGCTCCCAGAGCCACCGGGTCAAGTTACAAGTAATATCTGTGGAGAGGCTAACCACTCACGGAAAGAATGCATTTAAAAAAATAAAATAAAACCACTGTAAGGAAATAAATACAAGATATGTTTAACACCGTACCATGGAAATTTCCTGTAAGTATTAGCATAATCGTAGATAAGCAGGTACCAAATTACTAAAACGTTACATAGTGAGCCTTTAAAATGATCAACTCATGACTTCTGTCTGATATCCTAGAATTGCTATTTAAATAAAATTGTAATGAACAGAATCTTAAACAATATGACTACATGGGGTTAGAACCCCATTCTGTGCCCTCCTGTTGCTAAGTCTGAATAAATGAAATCTGTTTTGTTATTTTGTCACCCTATAGGGGAATAAAACAAAAAAGCATTATTGCGGTACCTTGTATGGAAGTTTGAATAGTGTTTGAGATCTTGAATACTTCGATTGAGTTTTAGCCGTCTGAAGAGAGATGATCCCCCATGTTTGTGGTTTCCTGGTGGGGACAGGGGGGAAGTGAGGGGAGGCATAGGTGAGAGGGTGGGCGGGGGTCCCTCAAAACTATCCCACAAGCTCAACTGCCGCTTTACCTCCCTGTGACTCATACCTCCGGTCGCTCTCCACTTAGTGTCTGAATCTAGGCTCCCTCCACCCACGCAGCCCCCCCTTGTGGACTTTTTAGCACTCCAGTCAGGCAGAAGCACAAGGAGCCAGAACACCTGCAAAACTGTCCTCAATCCCAATCCTGGCTCTAATAGCAGGGCCTGCACCTCTCCTCTTTAGTCCTCCTCTCAGTCAAAGCACATCAGCAGGCATTACCCCTCTCTGTGATCCTGGGGACTTTGCTCCCCCTCCTTCTCCAGCACCTCTCTTCTCACACATGTTGTTCCTTGGATTTGTACAGGGTTTTCTTAATCCTCGCCGGTGCAGTTTGTTTGGTCTATTTGGAGGTTTCCTTTGATATTCCAACGTGTCTGCTCTCTCTCGGCAGTCCCAATGCAATATTATGATCCATCCTCTCCAAATTTGGACTCCCGGCCTTGTCTTGCTCCAGGCTTCTTCTCATGGGACAATCAATTTGCAAAAGCTGCTTTAAATGAACTTTCTTCCTTCTTCCAATTAGTGTGTTTTTGGTCTTTGTGTAGTTGTTTTCTCCTCTGCTGTACTTGGGTAATGCTCGCGGTATCCTTATCTCGCAGCTCGCAGTTCCTTTTGGCGCAACAGGAAGGTCGATGTGTAGGGTAATAGACCACAGGCTCTGCATGCAAGGCCATGTAATGAGGATTTTAAGACTACATGGGCTCAAAAGGGGAAGAAAAGCCTGGGTTGGGTTGGCTGAGGCCCTGTGTTAATGTTGACATGTACAGCCTAAGAACAAGTGCCCAAAATATTTAGTGTTTTGATACTAACAGTTCTTCTCAACAACTATCACCACTTTCTTTGGTCATGTCACGTGACTGAGCTGGGGAGGTGATACGTGCCTCTAGGTCATCTCGTTCAAATAAGAATAAAAACTTTGCCAAACACATAAATACACAAAAATCTCAATTTTAACAGAATTTTAACATTTTGTACACTTTCTGAGCCTGCTTGTCAAAACCAAAAACAGGTAACATACAAAAGTGGAGAGTCTCTATCACCAATTTCCATTTTTAATCAGAGAAAATATTTTTTGCCTCACAAAAGAGCTAGAGAGTATGACAAAAATTAATCAAAAATGTCCTCCTCACATTGTTGGATCACAATTTTATTACATTTTATTTTGTCTAGAAAATACATAAAATGGTTTTCAGTATTAATTTCCTGACCGTAAACAATATAGACTTGTAATCATTATATTTCTTCCCCTAAAGTCTTTCAGACCACATGTTTGTTTTGTTTTTTACTGACAAAAGATAGGCTGTATATATCTCGATTAAAAAGACCCAAGCTTATCATTGATAATTAGACCTGATTGAATCTCAGTCTTCATTAAAATTCAATTAAATGCACACCACAAGATCACAATAATAATTTCTGTTATATGTATGGTGCTCTATCCTACTACTACATTATTAGTAAATGTATTTTCAACTTACTTGTGACCAGCCCAAAACTACTCCAATATTCTGAAATAAATCATACAGTTTTAAGTGTGTGAATTTGACCACAGCTAATTCACTGTTGCCACGGGTACTGGTCAAGACAAAAGGCCACTGCCAGTGTGTCTTAGAAACCCATGGCCCTGGATCAAAATGCATAAATGTTTTACTGCTGTGTAAATATCGTGTCAGGGAAACTGAGCTGCACTGAGTTAATGGCTCCCTTTAAAGAGGAAAGTATCGATTGCGTGTGTTCTAAGTACCTCATTAACCTTAGAAGCTCTGAAATTAGATTTAAAATGGTATAGTTGACTTTAACAAGACTTGAAGAGGATATATTCAGAACACGCAAATGGTTCATGAGTAGACATGAAGTAATTTAATAGTAGAAATAGTTGTTGTTTTGTATGTTGTAGTAGTAGTAGTAGTACTAGTAGTAATAGTAATAGTAGTAGTAGTAGCAAGAGTAATAGTTGTATGCAAATATACATGTAGCAGTAGTAAGGTCATAGTAGTAGATAATAGAATTAGTATTAGTTATAGTGGTAGTTAATAGTAGTTGTAGTAAGTTGTGTTAGTTTCGTAGAAGTTAGGTTGTAGAAAAATTGACTTTGGTAGTAGTAGTTAGTAGCTGTGATAATTGGTGTTAGTAGTTATGTAGTTGTCGTAGTGGTAGTAGTTAGGTAGAGATTGTGGGGGTGCTAATAGTAATAATAGTAGTAGTAGTAGTTAAATAGTCATAGAGTATCTTTTATTTTCACTTGAGTACTTTCGCTAAAATAACAGCATTCTTACTTAAGTACTGATTACTTCCTTAACTTTGAGTGACCTGTGGTAAGGCAAGTGGTTTCCTCTGTACGCTACATCGCTTCTGCATTTTACTTTTTTAAGACAAGATATGGATGACTGCTTCTTTAAAACAAGTACTACGTTCTTGTATTGCCTGTAGACCTTTTTTGCAACCTAGCACACCCCTGAACCTGTATTACATCATTGTCTCCATTCTTAATTTGCCCTCGTCTCAGTGGAAAACTTTTTGTTTATACTGGCGGGTATAACCTTTTATCATTGTTTGGTATACAGATTGGTCATTACTGTGTGCGAGTGTGGAGGTACCTGCATTTGTACGTGCTTATTTGAGTCTGTTGACAGCAGCCACAGTGAAGGAGATAAGATATTCACACACGTACTAGTTCAATATATACATACCAAATGAGGAAACTACAGACAGTATATTTTCCAGCCCTTTTCTGTAAGTGGAAACAAGGAGGTGAGTGGAACCTGGCATTACGCCTGGCTTCAGCTGCACAGTAAAGATGAGCTGTCTTGTCAAGCTGTGTCTCTTCTTCAGTCTCTGTCTTTACATCCCCAGTCTACGTTTGTTTCATAATCCACAGGGGATACAGGTAGTCTTTAAAAGGCAAAGCATTATTCAAAAATATTCTGTGGAGAAATGTGCTAAATTAATTTCATATTTAGAGTAAACATTATGCCTACTGTATAGTGTAATTAAAACAACTTTCTGTGTTCATATTAAAGAGAGGGTATTTTACTTCTATGGGGCATTAACTACTAACACATAACATATTTAGATTACTTACCTTTAATTGTGTTATATTCACTGAAAACAACATATTAACATGTTTTATAAGTTTTATTTTCATTTTTGTCGCTCAGACTCCCCTCCTATTGCTCCCCTCATCTCTCTCTGCAGTTTATATCTTATTGTACTACCTTTCCTCACCTTAAATCTTTTTTTCCCGCTTAAAGTTGATTGTAAATGTAGTATTTAGTATTTAGTAGTAGTATTTAATATTTAAAAAAGTAGAACATTACATTGAATCATTTGCTTCAAGTTGCAAAGTACAAACAATGAATGAAAGATAGCTGATAATAAGGTAAGATAATAGCATAATATGTATTTTTGACCTAACAATTAAACTTGCATTAAAAATTATATTAAAAGTATACTTGAGTAGCAGCAGTTATAGCAATAGTAGTAGTAATCTTGGTGGTAACTACACAAGTACTTGTAGTAGCAGTAGTATATATAAAGCAGTAGTGTTATTTAGACTAGCTACTACAACATTTTCTACCTTTCATCCCCAGTCATGCTCTTTTTAATTTATATTTGTTTATGATCCTCCTGGGACACACAGCGGTAAGTTTACGGTCACATGAAAACCCCTCTGCATTCAACTCATTTGCGTCTGTTGAAAACACACCGTGCTTCAAACATGGTAAAGATTTTTTATTCACCTGACAGTTGCCTTTGTAATCTCCAGAGATGTGATGAGGAGACAATTACTGCATCTTATTAAACAGCAAGTCCCATCTTAATAATAGCTGGTGAAAAATCTCAAAGTGACTCACAGAGACACACACAACATTAACTTCAAAGCTTACTAATAGGCACGCACACACTGTATTTCGAATGGGTGGGTAGTTGTTTTTTTTGTGTGAGACGAGAGCTGGATCCCTGGAGTGCATTGCTGTGGACAATGACATGATGATCAGTGGTTTCAGGGGAGAGGGGGATTTGTGCCGGCTCAGTGATTGCTCCTTACAGTAGATAACAAACTGTCCCTGTCGACCAGAGGATGGTGTGGTCTGCCATATAACACCACTCACTATTGTAGACAGGTTTGCTGAAACATATGGTAAATGATAGGGATCCAGCTTTTTCAGTTCCAATACCGATTTCGATATTATTTAAGTAATTGCCTATTCACGATATCAACTGATAACAGTGTAGAGGCTAAAAACAGCATTTATTTTCTTTATATAAAAATAAGACAAAACTAATCCAAATGTGTTATGTAGCTGTTACTTATCTGTCTACTAACTATAGAGCAGCTTTGTATAAATAAAAGTTCAAACATTATGAGATTTTGTAGGCCAATTATAACCAATAAAGCTTATTACATGAATTTATACGCCAAACTAGGGTATCGACTGAACCGATATTTGGAAGCCGATATCTGATCTAGCAAAAATCAGAATCACATCGGTGCCTCCCTAGTAACTGATATGTCAAATACAGCTTCTCCGTGTGATCAGCAAATTGTAAAATGTGAGAAGTGTTGTTTATTGGATGTACTGGGTGTAAAATAAAGTGCAGTTGTGTTTTGTCTGCCTAAGGGTCCCATAGACTACTGTATATTTATCAGTAGTAGTGGGTGGATTATTGTAATATTGTTTCTATCATGAATGGTGTATTGAAGATGTACAAAATTTGAATATCATGTAGATCATTTATAGTAAAAAAGTTGCAAATAGAGCTTCCAAGAACTTCCAAGCAAGGGTACAGATTTCTGCTCTTTTTTGGGTAATTTTACAGTCATACTTAAATCTCAACTATCTTTAAAGCAGGGGTCTCCAACCTGTAGCTCGGGAGCTACCAGTAGATTTCTACCTCCTTCCAAGTAGCTCGCCAAGGAATTTCTGGATTACATGTATTGTCCTGATTATCTAAAATTTGATCAATTAAATGCCTATTATTATTGTAAATCTATCATTATAATGCCTGACTTTGAGCA